AGCCTGTAACCTTGACCGGAATCGAACGCGGGACCCTTCAGTCCACAGGCCGCTTGCTGCTCTATCCACGGAGCCAAACCGGCTGGGGCTCATACATTATTATGAACCAAAGCTTCCGTTTCCTCGGTTGTTCCCCGCTGTCCTTTTTCTGTTCCAGAATCCCATCCGAAAGACCACTTTACATTTAGTCACCCGGCTCAGGTTTTCTTGTTTTTGGTGACTTTGGCTGTTTTGAGGCGTGCTGGTCAGGTGTGTTATAGATTGTTCCTAAAGCGGGATTCGTCTGAAGTTGTTCTCAGGTTTAGTGTGGGAGCATGGGTCTCCGAGAGGAAGACCACAGAAGTAAAGCCATTTTCATCACATCCTGTCAAGGGAACGTATTCCCAGCATGCTTTGTCACTGTTGGTGGTGACCTTGATCACCTGGCTCAGGGGTGTCTGGCAGGCTTCTCCACTGGGAAGTCACTCTCTCCCTCCCTTTCCATACTGTTCTCTTTAGAAGGAAGTCAGCGTGTGCCGCCCTTGCAGACTGCAGGGCTAAGCTGTACTAGTTCCTTCTGCAGAAGAATTTCCTGTAGTCTCCTGGCAACAAATTTACAATTGATGTATTTGAAAATTGTCTTTATTTTATGTCTCCACTTTTTATTTTGAAATAATTATAGATTAGTAGGTACTTCAAGAAATAATAGAGTTCCCATGTCCTATTCTCTGGATGCTGACATCCTACCTAAATATAGTACAGAAGAGACTCAAAGTCGTACAACCCGCAGAACTTGTTCAGTTTTACATGCATGTGTGTGTGTGTGTGTGTGTGTGTGTGTGTGTGTAACTGTTCAATTTTATTACATGTGATTTGTGTAACCAAAACTACGTAACTGTTCCATCACCAAAAAGATACCCCTCATGTACCTTTTTATTTCTCATTTTTAAAGAATTCTTTTTTGCTGGATATAGAATTTTAAGTAGACAGTGGTGTGTATGTATGTATGTGTGTATGTTTGTCCTTAAACATGTTCCATTTTCTCCTGGCCTCAATTTTTTTCTGATGAGAAACCAGCTATCCTGTTTTTTATATTCATTCCTTGCCCTGTCTGCTTTGATTTTCCTTTTATATTTGGTGTTCAGAGTTTGAGTATGATGTGTTTGTAATTTTCTTGCTTTTATGCTGTTTAAGGTTTACTAACTTTCTTTGATTTGTGAGTTACTGGTTTTGATCCAGTTTGGGAAACTTCCCAACCAGTGTTTCTTTAAGTATTTTTTTCTGCCCCATATTCTTTCTCCACTCATTCTGGGACCCCAATTTCATATATACTGGACAGTTTGATAGCTTTCTAGCAAAAGAGCCCTTATTCTTGTCTCTGTTTTCCCCTTTCTAATTTAATGATTTCTAAAAATCTGGATAACATATTTTTTAGTTGTAGGGTTTCTATTTGGTTCTTTTATAGTTTCCATCTCTCTCCTGAAATTCTCCCATCTCTACCCAACATACCCATGTTTTTTGTAGGTTCTTTAACATTCTTTTAAAAAAATTCTTTATTGTTGAAAGTATTACGTATGTCTCCCTTTTCCCCCATTGACCTCTTCCCACCCGCTCCCACCCCCCAGCACAGGCCCTCACTGCTTATATGCATGCATACAAGTCCTTTGGTTGATCTCTTACCACCCCCCTCCCACCCTCCCCTGCCTTCCCTCTGAGGTTTGAAGATCTGTTCAATGCTTCTCTGTCTCTGGATTTATTTTTATCAGTTTATGTTGTTCATTATATTCCACTAATGTGTGAGATAATGTGATACTCATCTTTCTCTGACTGGCTTATTTTGCTTAGCATAATGCTCTCCATGTCAATCCATGCTGTTGCGAATGGTAAGAGTTCTTTCTTTTTTATAGCAGCATAGTATTCCATTGTGTAGATGTATCACAGTTTTTTTAATCCACTCATCTGCCAATGGGCACTTAGGCTGATTCCAAATCTTAGCTATTGTAAATTGTGCTGTTATGAACATAGGGGTGCATATATTCTTTCTGATTGGTGTTTCTGATTTCTTGGGAAATATTCCTATAAGTGGGATTACTGGGTCAAATGGGAGTTCCATTTTTAATTTTTTTAGGTAACTCCATACTGTTTTCCACAGTGGCTGCACCAGTCTGCATTCCTACCAGCAGTGCACAAGGATTCCTTTTTCTCCACGTCCTCGCCAGCACTGTCATTTGTTGATTTGTTGATGGTTCTTTAACATTCTTATCAGTTATTTTTAAATCATTTATAGGCTTGCTTTTATTGAATGACTTTTCTCTTGATTATAGGTCATATATTTATTTCTTTTTACATCTAGTAATTCAACGATGAGAGAGAATAATTGATCGGCTGCCTCCTGCTACCCCACACTAGGGATCAAGCCCACAACCCAGGCATATGCCCTGACCAGGAATCAAACTGTCACCTCCTGGTTCATAGCTCAATGCTCAACCACTGAGCCACGCTGGCCGGGCAGATCTAGTAATTTTTATTTTATAGTGGACATTATGGGTATGTTATAAAATTTTTGGATTATGTATCTTCTGAAAACTGTTGAGCTCTGTTTCATATTTGTATGTGGTGAAAGGTATGGAGCAAAGTTCTTTTTTGCATGTGACTACAGTATGTCTTCAATGTCATCAATAGGTTCTTGGAAACCGCGATTCTAAGCAAAATGATGTATAAGGAACTCAATATTGCCATAGGCTAATTGACAAAAAACAAGAGTTAAATTCCTAAGGCAAATGTCTGCTCACAAAAACATCACCAAAACAAAAACATAAAGACTCAAAACGCTTCTAATATTAAACTTGAAAATAAATGTGAGCTATACATAATTCAAGAAAGATTAATAAAAACAAGATTTACCAATTTTCAGTGACTCAGTGAGTGACGTGGTTGTAGTGGTGCACTCACACCCCCTACACACACTCAACTCAGGCTGGGTCACTTGAGATACACAAGTTCACCTCACTGCACACCTTTGGGATGGATGTGGGGGAAAAACCAGTTCCCAGAAAAAAACATGCAGACGAGAAGAACGTGCCAACTCCACACAGACTGTGGTCTCGGCCAGGAATCAATTTTTTTTTCATGAACATGATCATGAAATGATGTTTTTTGAAGACCTGCTGTATCCAGTTGTTCCAGCACCATTTGTTGAAAAGACATTCTCTATTGAGTTGCCTTTGCACGTTTGCCAAAATTCAGTTGCCCATATATGGGTGGGTCTATTGCTGGACACTCATCTGTTCTGATGTATTTGTCTGTTTTTACATCAACAGTATACTTTACTGTAGCTTTATGTAATAAACCTTGAAATCAGATAGTTTTATCCTTCCAACCTTGTTTTTTTCCAGAGTCGTGGCTAATCTAAGTCCTTTGCATTTCCTTTGAATTTTAGAATCAGCTTGTCACTTTCTACGAAAAGCCTGCTGGGATTTTGACTGACACTGTTTTGAATCTGTAAGTCAATTTTAGGAGGACTTATATTTTAGCAAACTTGAGTCTTTTTTGACCCATGAACAAAGTGTTGTCACTCCACTTATTTAGGTCTTCATTTTCTCTCAGCAATATCAGGGCTTTTCAGTGTAGAGGTTATGCATTTCTTTTTATCAGATTTACTCTAAATATTTCATATTTGGTGCTGTTATAAATGGGATCTTAAATGTTTTCATTTTTGATTGCCCGTTACTATATAGAAATGCAATTGATTTTTGATGATCTCTTATCCTTAAACTTTGCTAAACTCACTTGTTAATTTTAGTCTGTTTTTTTTTTTGGGGGGGGGTCTATTTGCTTATGCATATATACCATTCCTCTTATATCTGGCCAACTAGGAATGGAAAAATTGACAGCTAAGCACAAGAAAATCTGCATGGCAGTTTTAAATTAAATATAGGGTGTCCCCAAAAATGTCTACACATGCTTTGAATAATTATAATGGCAGTGTTTATTAAAATACATTTAATTTCAAAAATTGAACTATCAGCTGTTAAAGTGTGTATACATTTCTTGGGGACACCCTGTATGTGCTATTTAATAATGGAGAGATGTGAAGTTGAGGAATTGAATCATTAAGGTTATTTTTGGATGATGGGAAAAGGATATGAGAATTCATGTGCTCCTTTATTTGGGGAGAAATATCTAAGTGGAAACTACATGTATTATTTTAATTAATATATGCTGAAACACGTGGTATTTTAAAGAACTCCTTTAACAAAATTATAGTTAAGATTTATTTTAATTTTTCAATCTGAAAAACAACAAACCAACCCCAAAACAAAACAAAACAAAAAACTATACTTATATGTACAATGTCAACATTTTCAGAGCACTTACACTAGGACACTGTGTTTCTCTTCAATCATATGACAGCACTGTACGTGCCGCAATCACATTTACAAAACAACCGCGTCAGCAGTCACCCAGGCAGCATGATTTTACATTCAACGCACAAGAGAAACGGCCGTCCTCCTGGCACTCGGCGTCCCCCCACCGCCCGCCTGCAGCCCCGCAGAGCAGGTCCCCACGTGCTTTCAGAGCTTCGGCTGGTAAAACCCACGGTGGCTGTTAGAAGCCACATCCTTTCCAGACCCAGACTTAAATAATGAGAAATTTGCCATTTAAAAATAACAACTGATGGCTTATCAATGGGCATGGTGACATGTACCCGCCAAAAGGGGTGTAAAAAAACTGTATGAAAGGGAAAAATAAATACAGTTGTTGTAAGTAGTCTTGTTTACGCTACATTTCAGAACACTTAAACACAAACGTGCCCTTAAAGTTTTATAAAGTAGCTGTTTATGATCAAATTACAACTGCTGGACAAATCTAATGAAGACAAACTGATTTGGTACAGCGTGGCGGCGACCCGCCACTGTGTCCGACATAAGGCACTAGGTCTGAGTACGCCGCACACTCGCCTTATGCCCCGTTACCTGTTCCATACCAGTGAATTCTTTGAAATAAAAAAATAATAAACATTTCAGGACACAGTGCACTTTAATGACATACAGCACTTGAAATCTTTCAGACAGAGGTCTGAAAATAGCCTTTTAATGCAAGCCTGACCCTTCAAAAACATATAGTCCTCTTTTTTTTTATGCTTAGTTTCAACATCACTGGAAAAAATACCCATCACTAAACCCTGATAGACATCCTTGGCCATTTTCCTCTCTTCCATGGCATCAGTGTTCATGAGGCAAAGCGTGACCCGGAATCTTAGTTCAAGTCCTACAAGGGCTCCATTCACAAAAGTCATTCAGTTTTCGGCTCCTTTTGTTTGACACCTGTCAGGAGAGGGAAAATGGAAGTTTCAAAGGGATATCGAAATCCCTGACAGCACGTGCTCCTCCACATCGGAGGTCGCCGTGTACCGGGCAGTGGACGGGCAGGGACTGAGCAGGTGGGCGTCAGGCTCCCCACCCCCACCCACCATGATTACAGCATGCTTTCAATCGGTATAACATACTGTAATTCTAAATATTCGAGATTTAATTCAGAAGAGGATTCTGCTGCTAAAGGATTGTAAAATAAATGTGCATTTACATTTTAATGAAGATGCAAAGTACTTCCATTGTACATATAAAAGTGTCTTAAAAAAAGCATTATACATGTTTAGGATAATTGCACACAACACCAACTTGATCTGGCCAGGATATTTCAAAATGGGTTGGGAGGGAGAGTTATTACTTTTCTCACCACAGCAGCTTCTCTCCTATTTTCTCAGCAGACACTCAACGTTAGAAAGAGATTAACAATCTATAAAAAAATAAGGGGCCAATCCTGGCAGTGTGACTCAGTGGTTAGAGCAGGGGTGGGCAAACTTTTTGACTCGAGGGCCACAATGGGTTCTTAAACTGGACCGGAGGGCTGGAACAAAAGCATGGATGGAGTGTTTGTGTGAACTAATATAAATTCAAAGTAAACATCATTACATAAAAGGGTACGGTCTTTTTTTTTTTTTAGTTTTATTCATTTCAAATGGGCCGGATCCGGCCCGCGGGCCGTAGTTTGCCCACGGCTGGGTTAGGGTGTCGGCCCTCACACTGAAGGGTTGCAGGTTCAATACCTAGTCAAGGGCATGTACCTGGGTTGCAGGTTCCCTCCCTGGCCCCTGAGGGGTGTGTGGGAAGCAACCAATTGATGCTCTTTCTCACACCTCTCTCTCTCTTCCTCCCTCCCTCCCTTCCACTTTCTAAAAATCAATGAAAAAAATACCCTTGGGGTGAGGATTAACAAAAAATAAAAATAAATAAGGGACTAAAAAATTGTGGCTAATGCCCTCTGACTGCTGACTTATTGGTTGTATGTGTAGATACTTAGGTTCATTTGGGGAATCTGAGTTAAGTTTGACAATGAACTAGCTTTTTGAAAGAGAGACAATGTCATTATATTGTATCAGTATCCTGCATGGGGAACTGTGTCCATTATGTGGTGAGAAGAATGACTCTGGTACCTCTTATTCACATAATAGTGGATGCTTAAAAAGTGCCTCTTGATTATTCCATAAACATCCACCCAACGGTGCTCTCCTGGGGATGGTGCCTTATTGTCCACCAACAGCTTGCACTCACGGTTTTGGTTTCAACTCCAAGCACCCGGGAAAAGACCGAGGGCCTGTATCGGCCTGCTCATTTCTAGTTGAAGGAACAGAGGGGCCCAATGAGGTGAGCGGCTGGCCCACACCCCCAGCTCTAAGGGTCCCGGGCGGGGCTCACCAGCCAGGCCCTGGGATGCTTATTGCAGGCCGCTCCCACGCACGGGAGCATCAGGCCCTGCTGCTGACCTGTCCCGCAGCCCCCGCGTTCTGACAGGTCTGCTCCCAGTGTTCACTTGTTGTTATAGGAACACAGAGCGTTCTCTTAAACAGACGGCATTATGCACTCTATATTGTAGAGAATTCTAACTCGGCTACCCGTCTTTATCACATCACCTCTATGGTAACAGACATTTCCAATTCCCGCTGCACGGCAGGTCCCTCTCCACAGAGGAGCATTAATGACTTAGAGTTTTTGAAACAGCAAATCTGGATGGAAATTTAAACCCATCCAGCCCAATGTGCTCATGGTTCAAGACACGAAGGACACAGAGGATGAAGAGCTGCACTGTTTACTCTGAGTCTGCGATGCACAACGAATCTTGGCTGCGGGGACAGCCGAGGGCCTTGCTCCACCCGGAGAGGGTGCCCTTCTCTGAGCTGCCAGGTTCTGTGCCCACATGGATGGCTCTGCCCAGAGAGGAGGCCTCTTCCTGGTGTGCAGGAAGGGCCGTTCGGCCGTCTGTACGAGTAATCCCCCTCTGGGTGGGCCCGCTCCTCGGCTGGACGCTGCCTCCGAGGGCTGTCCGCTGCCCACATAGCTGCGGCTCACGGCCACTGCTCGTAGCATTCCACTGCACCAACAGAACAAATCGGTCCATTCTGCTCAAGGACACCTGGCTTGTTTCCAGCTTTAGTTTAATGCTATGAACAATCTCACATTCATTTATGCTTTTTATCAACATCTCATGATTATAAAGATTATCATGAGTTTCATGTTCCCTAATATCTGAAATTTTAAAGTGACCACACCAGGCCCCATGTCTGGTTTCTGATTCAGAAGGCGTGGGCGGGCCCTCGGGGTACATTTCTGACGAGCCCAGGTGCTGCTGCTGGCCTGGGCCTCGTGCGTCCCTGCTCTACTAGAATCACAACCTTGGGGTTCCCACTCAGGGAATGTGATGCCTTCTCGTGGGCGGTGGGGACGCCTGAAGGGAGGCATCTTTAGGTGAGAGGTCAACTGTAAGAACTAGTCTCAGCTAGTCTGATTTCTGAATGAAAGAAAAAATCAATACCGTAACGTAGTACACACACTTGAATGTTTAACTTTTAAGAGTTCAAAGTGCATGTCTCTTATCTCCTGTCTTAGCATTCTTGGACTTGGTCTGTGAGGCCCAAAGCTGGGTTTGTATTTTTTTAAATATATTTTTACTAGAGGCCTGGTGCACAAATTCATGCACAGGTGGGGTCCCTCGGCCTAGCTGGCAGGAGGTTGGCCAGTTGGCCAGGGGAGGGACTGTGGGAGGTTGGCTGGCCGGCCGCCCCCGCTCCCCCCCAACCATCAGGGCCAAGGGGGGGAGTGGCCAGGGGGAGGGACCGCAGGAGGTTGGCTGTGGGAGCGCACTGACCACTGGGGGGCAGCTCCTGCATTGAGCATCTGCCCCCTGGTGGTTAGTGTGCATCATAGCAACCGGTCATTCGGTCACTTAGGCTTTTATATATATCGATTGATTTCAGAGAGAAAGGGAGAGGGAGAGAGAGACAGAAACATCAACGATGAGAGAGAATCATTGACTGGCTGCCTCCTGCACACCCCCTACTGGGGATCGAGCCTACAACCCAGGCATATGCCCTTGACCGGAATTGAACCTGGGACCTTTCAATATGCAGGCCAACGCTCTATCTACTGAGCCAAACCAGCTAGGGCTGGGTTGTCTGTATTTGGGGGCAGGGAGGGGCGGAGGGGAAAGAAAAGGAAAGGGGCTGGTGGGGTTAGGACCCCTACAGTCCCCCCACTATTAAACGTGTGCCACAGAAGGAACACCAACTCTTTTCCAAGGCTGCGCCCCCCTGCACGCTCCCGGCAGGGACCTGAGGGCAGGCTCAGAGCGAATCTGGCAAAAATGAGTTTAGCCATGGTGCTGTTTGGCAGTTAATGTAATTTCCATGCACTCTTCATGGAAAAAAGTCTGTTATGTCTTTTGTTTTATATACTCAGCACACTAGAAAGTCATCTGTTTTTGAAGTGTAGATGGTGTCAATAGTTAGAACCCAGAGAATTTCCCTCCTGTTTTCCAGTTAGCAGTCCTAAAAAGAAAGCAAAACTGAAGAGCCTTAGCTTTTTAATGGAAAAGGTCCTGGTGAACTTGGCAATGAATCCTCGATTACTCGGGCACTGCTGGGCAGAGAGGGGCCGAGTCAGGATGCTTTCTATAAACTTTTCTCTTACTCAAGTGGAAGAATAAAACTTCACAACCACAAAGGAAATGAAAATGGTTCACAGAGGAACGCACAGAAGCCCCCCTCAGGAGGAAACGTGTTCCTTCTGTGGCACACGTTTAATAGTGGGGGGACTGTCGGGGTCCTACACCCACCAGCCCCTGTGCCCTTCCTGTCTCAGTAGGTGAAGGTCAGAAACCGGCCTCTGTACCTGGTGGGGTGAGGATGAGGGCTTGCAGAATATCTGACAGGGAAATAATACCCACAATACTATCTGCTTCATTCACCACCACCAGCCGATGGACCTGCAAACAAGAGAAAAGGAGGCCACATAAGCAAATAAACGCTTTAAAATGGAAAATAGGAAAAAAATATCTTTCACATGCTCTACAGTGAATCCATCCCATAAATCACAGAAAGTAACAGCATACAGAAACATGGAAAGGTCGTTGGCTCTGAAGCTCAAGTGCGGTGCTGATCTGCTTGACTACTTTTTTTTAAATCTTAAACTTTTACTGATTTTTAGAGAGAGAGGAAAAGGGAAAAACCTCAATGTGAGAACATAACATCCTTCGGCTGCCTCCTGCGCACCCTCTACCAGGGATTGAGTCCGAAACTCGGGCATGTGCCCTCACTGGGACTCCAACCAGCAACCTTTTAGTGCATGGATGACACCCAACCAACTGAGCCACACTGGCCACGACTGCCTGACTACTTAATA